ATGGACCCAGAAGCCAAGAGCACCAAAAGTAGAAGAAAATCCAGGGAGAAAAACGAGGACGACGACATAAAGAATGGGACTCACATGTACAGACAGATCCCATGCATTCCTCTGAGCCGTGCCCGCGCATAGTTGGTGAATTGAGTGAATTGAGGTTGGTGTATGGATTTCGTCATCGTTTTCTCTATCCCGTGTTCGAGGTGATTCCGGGGTGCTGATGAATCGATGCGCGTCCAGGAACGGGGTGCAAGACAGTTAGAAAGCCATGGTCGTGCGAGGTCGTGCGTCGGGCAAACGCGGCAAGTTGACGGTCAAAGCAGAGTCTGAGAGCCGTGTGCCTGTATTTGGCCGGGTTGTGCCGAAAGCCGAGGTGACCCGAGTGATCCGAGTCCTTCCTCCTTCCTGCGCCCTTCAGACAAGTTACAACCGCGATTCTGTCTGGGTATCCCCACCTCCGTTCGAGTCTCGGCGGAAAGACAGACAAGTGGTCCCACACGCTCCATCCTCCAGGTCCGCACCGTCCGGCTCTGCGTCCGACTTCCTCAGTTTCGACTACTACTTACTCCACACCGCAGCTGCCTCCTGGAATACTCTCCTGCCCTCCTTCGTTCCAGGCTTGGTTGCAGCCATCATTAGGACTTATCTCGCGCGCGCAAGCCTCAATTTCTCAAACGGCGGAACAGCGCCCACACCACAGGACAGCATGGACCCGCCCAAATCGAAATCCATGCACAGAGCCCAGAAGAAGGGCCTCTCGAGCGTAGGGGTACGATCTTCCTATGTACCCATCCCCTGGAATCTAGCAGTGTTCGAACGATACTGCGCCGCATGGCTTTCTTATTGCGACAGCGACTCGGACTTCCGGTGAGTTTTATTCTTCTCTGGCGGTTGTAATCTTTCTGTTGCACCCGCACCCTGGGTCGGACTCCAATACTTCAAAGTCCTCGTTCGGTCTTGCTGTTCTTCTGCCAACTGGCCTCAACGCGCCATGGGCGGCTCCTATCTAGTCGGCTCAACACTCTTCGTCGCCTCTCCTGCTTATGTGTTCACGGGCTTCACTTGCTCGACTCTGGAAGTAAATGCTCAGTTCCAGAAATCATACAGTAGCCTTCGTGTGTCTCATCCCCATTGATTTATTGACTCTCTATTCACAGGTACATGACTCTATACATGTCCTTTTATCCCCCTCCCTCCAACCTTGTATTCGATGTAAGCTTCGAGAAGTCGCGCGCCGCCCAAGCCTTTCTTCTGGTCTTATCGCTGGTTTGACCGCGAATCACGTCTGTCAATTATTCCTGATATCAGGGACCTCTTCAGGTTCCTTGTTCCTCAGCGCCGCATCGCATTCGATCCCATTTGATTGCGCACTTGATTCTAATCTCCCTCCCCGCTCCACCCTTCACCTGTCCCGCAGATTCATGTCGGCATGAATTCAACCCGTCCATAGCCCCAACAGCTCGCACGCCGCGTGAGTTATCCTTTATCTCCTCCAACGGATCTCTTGTATTTATCTTTACTCGCAGCTCTGCCCCGCATGACGTCACATCTCTCGTGCCTCCATTTCAGGTGAGTCGCTGAGCATTAACCGCACCTTGCTCGCGCTCCCCAACCTCATGCTTGCTTGTCCAGTTCTGATATCCGGATGTGTTGACTCGAGCACACGGGTGCGTCCTTCCTCAATGCATCTCACAATCCTCCACAGCACATGCGCCATACGTGAATATCGAACTGATCCTGTTTACACTTCATCTCGCTAGCGGAGTCCCCCTGACTCTCGAAAGTGCCTGGAGGATGCAACGCCACAGTTCCTCTGCCCCACATGCGAAACAGTGTAAGCTCGACTCGCATCACTTCCACGGCTTCCCTCGCTTCAATTCCACCGCTTCAAAACTCAAAATACCAGCAAAGCCCCTCCCTCCGGTGGAAAACTCCAACCCTGCGGATCCTAAATGATGTTCTTCGCCTTCTACGCGATTAATTGCCAGTGCAAGTGTCTCACCGAACATTCATTCCGGCCTAGAACTCCCCTTGGCCCAATGGCAAGTGCCCTATCATAAATCCCAAGTTGGATGATCACAAATTCCCTTGACAGAGTCAAAACCTGAACAATGAGCGGCCGGTATGTATCATGGGACAATGGAAATTTCTCAAGCTCTGAATCCTTGTGTGTTTTTTTTTGGAATATACCCGTGGTTCGGGATTACCGGGCTCTGCCGCTTGTCGGCCTGGCCTGCTTTGTTAGTATATTACGGGTGGACACCGCAATTCCTTGCTGGACTCGAACCCGCTGGGTAAGAAAATTCCCCGTCACCCGTCAACTCTCTTGCACGGTGCGACACCTGCCTCTCTCAACAGGGCACACACTGCAGGCTAATTCATCGGGCGTGGTGTACGGAACACCGCGAGGCTTCATGAGCGGGAAGATTGACTTCACTCGCAAGCCTGGGTTCGACTCCCCGCGCCCGACCTATGTTGGCGCGTTGCATTCCTTTTTTGAACATCCACTGCTCGTCTCCAACTCCCTTGGACTCGATATTCGATTCTCGTAGGAACCAACTCAGGATGCGTGTTTCATTCTCGGTGCGGGCGCAAAGGCAGTTCGTGGCTCAGTCACTTAATAGGTCTCCGGAATCTGAAACTGCGTATCTGAAGGAATCGGGCGTGGTGTACGGAACACGGCAAATATTTCTGAGGCAGTATGAAAACAGATGGCTCGTAGCCCGGGGTTTGACTCCCCACACCCGATCTCCAGGGTTGGGGAGCGGTTTTTTTTGGTCTTTAACTGTTCGTTTTCATCTCGCAATTATCTTGAGGACACTGATTTGTTTCTCGGCTCGGGCTCCACGGCACCTCTTGAAAATGAGAACAATCCTCAGCCACTCGGCAAGTCTCATCTATGTGCTTCAATAAATCTCTCTGCCTTGATGCAGAGCCACGGAAGTTAAACAATCGGATGTGATGAATAAAAGGCCGCGCGTTAGCTCTCGATTCCCCGTGCCTCGAGCAGAACCGTCCATCGGGTTTTTTGGTTGTTTCTCGATCTCGGTTATTGTGCTGCTCCACAGAACACCCCCAGTCCAAATTGCGTGGACAAGCTATGAGTAATAGGGCCACCTGAGGAAAGGAAGTGAGCAAGTTCAATTGTTCACCTTGTTGCCGTCCTTGATCCGTTTGATCGGTTGATCGGTTGATCGCCCAGCGCCTAAATCATTTCTCGCCTCCTTCTCTTCCTGTACACCGGTCAAGCTCATTCAACTACAATAGCTCGACAAGCTTCCGAGCTAAAGCTTCCTGGGTAAATCGCCAGCGTGTGGTAGTCACAACTCTCCTCTCTATTCCCCGAACTCGGCTAGTGTTCTCGATGTCGCAGCTAAAACCGCCGCACTATATATAATAACTTCATCACATCCCAGAGTTCTCCACGCTCGTCGTCTTTGGTCTTTCCCCCGTTTCCCGTCACCCGCTCACAATGTTCATCCGCCCGGCGCACACCCGAGACCTCCCCGCCGCCGCCGCCCGCCTTCGCCTCCGCCTCCGAGCGTCACCCCCACTTTCGCGCTCAACCCCCTCGCCCCGCTGCCGCCTTGCGCTGCCTATCAGCGCCAAGGCCATCCAGGTACAGGAGAAGAGCGCGGCCAAGACGACGCAGACGCCTAAACCGGCCTCCTCGTGGCTCCCGCTTTGCCTCCCGTGGGTGACCCTCCCCCCACCACCAGCCTCCTCCGCGTCCGCATCCCCGCTCCCTCACGCAGGTCCCGTCCGCCGCCCCGACCCCGCCCTTGCATCTCGCCCCCGCGTCGAGCATCCCGTACGTCGCCCTGCCGCCCCACACACGTCAGCGGTTGATGATGATTTTGTGGAGCAGTACCAGCGATACACGAGTCGCAGACGTCCGTGTCGATGGCGCAGATGATCATGCACCGCCATGTGAGTATTCTCTCTCAATTTTGCTTCCTCCCACCCGCCCCCTTTGTGTTTTTGTCCCCTCATCCGTTGCCCCCGCCTCTCGCCCCTTATTGCACCCCGCTCTACCTCCCCCTCCTACGTCTAATGCATCACGTCTCTGCCCTCCGTCGTCCGTCGCCGCTCCTCCACGTCGTCTCCCCGTGTGCATGTGTCCCTCCACTATTCCGATATCGCTACCATTGCTCCCGCCTCGCTTTGCGTCCGCTCACTCCTTCCTCGTTTCTTGTTCTCTCTCTTTGGCGGTGCTGCCGTGCACATCGCGCTCTTATCAAGCCACACGATATTTCACATACGTCATCGCTGCTCCCTCTCCCTCTCGTCTCCCTTGTTCCTCGCCCTCCTTTCTTTCGTCCATTCCGCAACGCACCTCGGGGCCGCCTTCCGCGCCTCTACCGCCCTCTCCCTTCCTTTCTCTCGGCGGCGGCCCACCCCGACGGACACGGCATCACCGTCCGCATCCCGTTCTGTATCCGCATCACCCGCCCGTCCCATCCCCACCCTCCCTTGTCCTTCCCTGTCCTTCCCCTTCCCTCCCAGCGCCACTCGTTCCTTGCCGACATCGTCTCGCAGATATACCGCCGCCCCTCGCCGCCCTCGCGCACCAGCGTCTGACGCTGCCGCGATAAGCAACAACCGAACAAACAAAGAACGAATACGATATGATTATGGACGAGATGACGAGATGACTGGTGCGGCGCTCCGCGCGTCGATGGTGCTCGTGTTGGCGTAGCTGCGTGTGCGGGGAGGGAGGAGCTGCGGAGTGCGAAGAGAGGAGCGATGAGGTGAGTGGAAGAGGAGGGAGTTGGAGGAATTTGGGAGGAGCCGCGCGAGGGAGAGCCGCGGCCGGACACTTCAGCTATTCTTATATTATATCTTTCGACGCTTCGCTTTTTTATTCGAGAGGAGGATTTATTTGCTTTGCTTTGATTCGGTGTGCGTGGGCGTGGGCGTCGGGCTGCGACGATCCACATCGCATTTGCACGAAGTAAACTCTGATTCGAGCGTGCGTACGTGAGCTAGATGGGGACAAGTATTCGGGCGTGGTGTACGGTGCACCGCGGGTCTGTGTCAAACGTTGTCGCAGTAGCTTTATTCCGCAGGCTGGGGTTCGATTCCCCGCGCCCGAACTTCAAAGATGCGACACATTCTTCGCTTTTTGTTTTTATTCATTCGCGGGCTTGCCTTCGAGGACTCTGAGCACGTGAATTTAATGTTAACTGCTTTGCTTGATTTTGGTGTGCGGAGTACTAGCGTACATCAGCGTCGGGACTTGGGAGTGCGCAGTCGGGACTCGGGATTTGGGCCTGTTGCGTAATATTCACAGAGGCGACATTAAATCTGGGCTCATCCCCCGTTTGACGGTATATGTCCGTGAGTTGGATGAGGATAGATATTCGGGTGTGGTGTACGGTGCACCGCGGGTTTGATTACCTGGTCGATAAATTGGCCCGCAGGCCGGGGTTCGACTCCCCGCGTCCGAACTTCGTAAGTCGCCAGTCTTTTTTATTTCTTTCGCGGGGCTTCGACTCAGCTGAAGACGTTAGCGCGTCAACTGTCAAGTCATCGCGTCCGTCGAATTTCCTGTATCAATGGTGAAATAAAATTGCAATGGGGTCCAGCTATTCTTACTCGGATCCGGCCTCGGGGCAGGCTTGATTATTCGGGTGTGGTGTACGGTGCACTGCGGGTCTGTTTATACTGTAACGCCTGATGTTAGCCCGTAGGGTGGGGTTCGACTCCCCGCGCCCGAACTTCGCGAGTTGTCAGTTTTTATTTCTTTCGCGGGGCTTCGAGTCAACTCAAGACATTAGGTCGTCAACCTGTCAAGTCATCGAGTGCGTCGAATTTCCTGGATCTATATCAACGGAAAAATGAATCTGAATCTAGGCTCGAGCTCTTCTTACTCGGATCCGGAGTCCGGGCAGGGTTATTTATTCGGGTGTGGCGTACGGTGCCCCGCGGGCCTGCTTAGCTCACCAGGGTACAGGTTAGCCCGGAGGCCGGGGTTTGACTTCCTGCGCCCGAACTTCGAAGTTGCGGGGATATTTTTTTTCTTTTCTTTTGTCATTCATTCACGGGCCTGCCTTCGAGGAGGAGGTGGATTTTAATGTCAAGTGCTTTGCTTGCCAGTGATTTTAGTGTGCGGAGGAGTACTAGCGTACATCACAATCAAGGCCTCAGTCGGGATTCGGGATTCGGGCCGCGGCAATGTTCTGTGCGGCATTAATATCCACGGAGGCGAAATTAAATCTGGGCTCATCCCACCATTTGACGGTATATATCCGTGAGTCAGGCAAGAATACACAGTCGGGCGTGGTGTACGGTGCACAACGAGGCTCATGACAAAAGGCCAATCATGAGGATCCTTGCAGAGCGGGGTTCGACTCCCCGCGCCCGGGTTTTTTACATTATGTAAGTAGTTGATTTATTTACCTTCTTGTTCAATTCCCAGACAGGATACCGCCCTCCCAGGATTGCTCTCGGGTTCATTTGGCATGCCATGGGAAACAAGATCTACTTAAACTAACCAAAAGCCATCTGCTGCTCTATCAAGGTGTCTTGGAGTTGGAAGCAATGCTTCAAAGGCCTCTCTCAAATGCAGAGTTTGTCTTTCTTGCTGCATGTCAGTCAGCTATGGGTGATTTTCCACTCATAAATGAGTCTTTCCATCTGGGAGGCGGATTCACTGCAGCAGGTTTCCGAAGTGCAATCAGAACACTATGGTCAATGAATGATCGGGATGGACCACTGGTTGCAGAGGAGGTTTACTCTCATCTATTCTGGAGGGTTGACAGCCTCAGGCGAGTGATACAGCTGAAGTACTGCAGCTTGCAGTGGAAGAATTGAAGGCTCGGAAACCTCCATATCAATGATGCATACCATTCATTTACATGGGATCTGATGTGGAGTGGGAAACTGTAGCATAATCCCGTTCAACCGGGCTCTACCGTGCTCCTGTTCAACCGGGAGTTGTGAGTGTATAAATAATTTCCCTCTAAGTGTGTGTTGTCTGTTTCAATATAATTCATCACTCCTTACAATCTTGTACTCCATATTGCATATTGAGGTGGATGCCTGGTAAGCGGTAGGTACCCCACTTTTCAACATCGAGCCTTGCAACCACCTCACTTGAGTATCTGCATTTGTGCGACACATTTTGGGATGCGTGGAAATTTTCTATTGGAACAAGAGACACCGCAGTGGATCTGGAAGTTTGTAAACCCTACGGCAGGAAGTTCCAACCCTCTTTTATTTTTCGCCTTGAGCTATCTGTCCTGCAAATTGATGCTGACGCCAGTCATTGAATTTTCATTTTTTGTTCAACGTACAATTCACTTCCGATTTGAATTTCTCCGGCCCAAATCATATCTTCAGCACAGGGCCCCCCAGGCAACTACTGTACACCGCGAGTCTGCATGGACCAATCTACTTTCGCAAACCGGGGTTCGACTCCCGCGCCCGAACTAATCTCGTCCCCGTGGCACTTTTTATTCCGTGCTTGAGCTCTCTTATAGGCGAATCGATGCACCGATGCATGCTTGATTTCCCCTGTTTTTACAACCCACGACTTGGAGTCACCTACAGTACGGGTTTGAATTTCCCTGGGCTTCAACCATCGCCATTAACAGAGGACTCCCAACCTAATAAATGGGGCGTCGTGCAAGGAACACCGCGAGTCCGTATTTAGTTTGTCTTGGGATCAACTCGCAGACCGGAGCTCGACTCCCCGCGCCCGAGCTCCCGAAGCTTTTCGCTAATTTTTTTTTTCCTGCACCCCAACTTTCTTAATTAGTCCTCTCTTACATCGGAACACCAGAGGTATTTAATCGGGCGTGGTTTACGGAACACCGCGAGTCTGCATGGAATCTCAGCCCTCGTATCTACTTTCGCAAACCGGGGCTCGACCCCCCGCGCCCGAACTCTATCCCAGTCTCGAGTTACTCAAGTCGACGTCAAGCTCTTCAATTTGACGACGAGTCCTTCAAGTTGACGACAAGTTCTCAAGTTGGCGACAGATTTTTCAAGCTTCAAGGTGAAGATGGGGAACGAGGGGCTATGGATTTCAACCGCCACCGATCGCGAGCCCATTTCAGTCTCTTGAATATAAAATATCTCACACCCTATTCGGTCCACAAATAAACACACAATTCATTCCATCATACACCACCACTCAACAAAGATATCGATAATTCCAAATCAACAACTGACCATTCAGGCGAAGTTCCAGGTAGCCTGGATCACACCGACATCGGGATTCGCCAATACCGCGAACGCGGTCCGCGTCAAGTCGAGCCCGCCCGCTGGGCATCCTGGGCACAGGTCCGCCACGTTGACCGTGATGGAACGCCCATTGACTGCGCATTGAGGATCAGAAACCGAATGGCTGTAGACGGTGGATGGAAACCCATACATTGAACATTGATGTTCTGGCCGCAATGCGCACCATTTGCATAATCAGTGGGGTTGAGCGCCACGGCAAACTCGGAGTCCTGGATAGGGCGACCACAGGCCCCGAAGTTTCCTCCAGGATCATAGAAGGTGGCTAAACGACGCAGCCTGAGAACCGTACACCATAGGCGCAAGTTGGAAACGTACTTCGGCCCGTGGTCCTGGGGAGAAGAGAGCCGGAGACGGCAATTGCGAGCGCAAGGAAGGCAGGAAGAAGGAAAGAGCCAATGAACCTCATTTTTGGTGTGGATCTTGTTGTGAGTCCCTGCGACATGGTCTCTTTTATACGGTTGAGCACGAGACAAATATACCGCGCCCGACGCGCAAGGATATCTCGGTCGGGCTTGTTCTCTGAAAAAGATCCAATTGCGCAACCCCGCTTTCTCGCAAGCTCGCTTGGCATTGAGTTGCGGGACGCACAAGAGCGTGGTATGCATTTACCTCGGTGAGTAAAGCCGCGTATGAATACTAACGGCTTATTCCCACCTGCCGGTAGGCGCCTGAAAACCAACTGCGCAACCCTTCTTTCCCGCAAGCGCGCTTGACATTGAGTTACGGGACGCGCAAGAGCCTGGTATGCATTTACCTCGGTGAGTAAAGCCGCATATGAATACTAACGGCTTATTCCCACCTGCCGGTTGGCGATCAAATCCTCGAGTCAATGCCCGTCTTTACCCGGTTCGTGATCCATGGCCGCGTCCGGCTCGATGCGAACACCACCCCGGCGGCCGCGTTTCCACTAGGAGCCCAAGGGGGTAGGTATCGCATCGCGGTGGCGGGGCTGTCAAGTGCTGCGAGCGGGCCGGGTAGTGTTGTGAGGCGTGGCGCTCGGGCGAGAATTAGTAGAGCGCCTGGGGCGGGGAGTGGAGGCGCGGTCGGGTGACGAAGACGGGAAACGGGGGGAGTCGAAACCGCGGATGGGATTGCCGTGCGCGTCGTGAGCGGGGTGGGAAGTGACGGCATGCCCCGCGCGACGAGAAGGGGCAGAAAGCTACGATCCGCTAAGCGCGGAGTATCGAAGCCGCGTTGTACGAGGATCATCGGCAAGGAGGACACGCGGTACCCGCTGAAGCGGCATCTTCCCGCCCGCACCCGCGAACGTGGGTACACGCACTCGCTGTGGTCGAACTGGTTGTACCACTCAGACGCGAGCGCACGGTGGATGTAGGGGTGGCGAACGTCGGCGGCCTCCGCAGCGGTGCTGGTGGCGGCGTGTTTGTGGACGACAATATCACGGTCGTCTTGTATCTCCGCGTCCTGCAGCCCCGCGTCCTGCACCTGAGTAACGCGCGCGACACCGTCTTGCGTGCATGCCAGCCCAGCCAGAATCGAGGCGCCGGGGAGGGCTTTGGAGATGGCGGCGTACGGCTCCACGTCCTGCATCTCCACGTCCCCACTGCGGGCGTCCTGTGCATGCATAACAACCCGCGCGCACTCGAGCCCCGCCGGCAGCGGACGCAGTGCGGGGCGGGCGCCGGTGGTGAGCGGGTCGCCCGGGGGCTCGAGCACCCGCTAATCTTCAACGGCGGCGGGAGGGGAGGGGAGATTTACAGCAGCCACGGGACACGCGGAGCGCGCGGCGGCGTCGTGGCGAGAGCTGAGGATGCGCGGGGTGCCGGCACATATGGGGGCGCTTCTAAATCTACCGGGGAGGGTGGGCGTATTTCGAGGACAAAGCCAGCGTAAGTGGGTGAGAAGAGGTAGAGGGAGAACGTACCGTTCTGCGAGGATAGCCTGGTACGCGGCGGGATCGACCGCGTCCAGAACCGATGCAGGCGAGGGAAAGGCGGTGGAGATTGGCGTGGGTGCTGAATATAGGATTTACACGAGGGATTGGTGGTTGTGAATGCGTATCATCGCTGAGCTGAAGCTGGGAAGCAGCTGCTGTTCTGAGCTGCTGATCACCGCGTCGTTATAAGGACAGTTGCGAGCTGGAAGGTTGTCACTGTCGAGCCGCTGGAGTCTGCGGCTGAAAGATCGCGTCGTGAGGAGAATTCGGCCGGGAGAAAAGTGCGTTCGAGTCGGTGATGTA